CCCATTGAGCATCTCTGGAGAGACCTGAAAATGGCTGTCCACCAACGTTTACCATCCAACCTGACAGCACTGGAGAGGATCTGCAAGGAGGAATGGCAGAGGATCCCCAAATGCAGGTGTGAAAAACTTGTTGCATCATTCCCAAAAAGACTCATGGCTGTATTAGCTCAAAAGGGTGCTTCTACTAAATACTGAGCAAAGGGTCTGAATACTTATGACCATGTGATATTTCAGTTTTTCTTTTTTAATAAATCTGCAAAAATGTCAAACATTCTGTGTTTTTCAGTCAATATGTGGTGCTGTGTGTACATTAATGAGGAAAAAAATGGACTTAAATGATTTTAGCATATGGCTGCAATATAACAGAGTGAAAAATTTAAGGGGGTCTGAATACTTTCCGTACCCACTGTATATTCAGGCAGAAGGATAAATTGTTTTCAAATCGAATTTGCAATTTAACAGAACACGATTTTCAGATTGCAAAAGCTGTGATTTAAACTGCCATTAAAATATGTTTTTAAGTGCTATGGATTTTAAACAGTGAGCGGTGTCCCTGCAGGCTTCAGGTGTACACGCACTGCCCTGCTCTGCAGTCTTCACATGAAATGCACAGGGTACATGAGTGAGTGGGCGTAGAAAGACACAGCAACACATTTTACTTTGGTGCCAGTAGCTGCATTGAAAATAGCCACAGCAGCCAGAAAAAAAACAAACACTAATGACCAAGAGACAACACTAACATTATTGTCAAAGTGAAACAAGTGGCTGTGTGAGTCCTCTGGCCCTTTTTTTGGTTATAGACCACAAGATACACGGCAAGAACGGGTAATGTACTGATGATGACTGGCTAAGGCAGGGGTGGGCAATTAATTTTTACAAGGGGCCGAGAAACCTGAACTGTGTTGGAGGGCCGAACCAACGATAACTTGAACTTAATTCTGCTCAATATTCATTATCTCCCGTTGTAACAAGCAGTAAATTATATGTGTTGATTAGCTGCTACTGGTAATCAGAAGAATAAGCATATTCTATAAATATTTATATAAACATATGAAATTGTGGTGTAGGTCAAACAGGAAAATACTCCTATAGAAGTAATAAACAGTAAAAACCAAAACAAACATTACATCACAGTTCCATTTTATTTTCTACTTCACATAACACTGAAAAGGTGTTTTGCAGTATGGTAAAGATTTGCATTTTCAGTTCATTTTACTTGTTCAGTGAGAGAAATCCAGTCTGGCTTGGGCTTGAACAAGTGCATTGAAATCTGGATTTGTTGAACTTCATCACTGAGAATGTCTGTTCACATATGTAGGTAGGTCCAAAGATTTCCTGCGATGTCCTCAACCCTCCTCGTTACAGTGCGTTGGGAGAGGGCCACGTTCTCATACGTGCCCTTTTTCTCCAGGCATATTAGTGCTGCGGAGTCCAACAAACACTCTTTAATAAACTCTCCGCCAGAAAATGGCTTATTTTTTCTGGCGATTTTGTGGGATATAACATAACTTGTCTTGAAAGCTGCATCTCTGGGTGTGGAAAGTTTTGTACAAAAGTCTTTGTTGGTTATGCAGGTTCACTAGCAAAGCATCCCACTCTCTTGCACGCTCTTCATCCAAACAGTTCTTGTATTTCTCCTCATGCTTGGTCATGTAGTGGCGATTCAAATTGTAATCCTTGAACACAGCAACCCGTGTACCACAAACTAAGCGCATCGCTTTACCTTTGACTTCTGTAAACAAATACTTTCCAGTCCATGTCTTGTTGAAAACGCGGCATTCGGCATCAACTTTTCTTTTTTTGGCGTGAGTTGACATTTTGAGGGTTAGCTGGCCAACATCACCTGTCTCTCACCCGGTAGGTCGGGGATCTTAAGTTCACCCGTGAACTTTTTTCATTCATGTTCTGATTTGATGGACCTCACGGTCAGCGATGACGGCCCACGGGCCACATCCAGCCCTGCGGGCTGTAAAATGCCCAGGTCTGGGCTAAGGTATTGACTGTGCTGAGAAATACCACAGATTTCTTCTATATGAAGAATACAGCTTTGAAAACATGAAGGCATGGCAGAGAAAAGAAAAAATATTAAATACTTCAAATACTTCAGTGCATCTAGCAGGAGTATCTATGCAGAAAACAGATGATTCAGGACCACAGCTCCCAGTGAGTCCAGTACATACACCAGCATCAGAAGTAGAGGCTAGTCTGACTTTATATAGCAGGGTGATGTTGTACAGCTTCTGCTCTGGTTTCATCAGAAATTCTAATACACTGCTTAAAATACTCTGCAAAATTTTCCATTTCTGGGCCCAAACTCCCCCAGACCCAAATGGCCTGGGGGAGCCTGGCAGCATCTACACAATAGTGTCTTTTTTTTCTTCAGTGATGCATCACTGAGAGTAACTGGTGAAACACACTGGAAGTGTTTTTGGAAACCTTTTCTTCACACACTGCAGATAGTGAAGCATAATCTCCACAGTCAGCTGTTTAAATCACACAAATCCTGTTTTCAGTTTCTACTGGTATCTGTTACAACTGATCAGGCTGCTTGAGTTTCACTGTCTCCCTCAGTTAGGAGCCGAGGAAAATCAATAAAATGAATAAATTGATAGGCTACATAAAAAAGTTAATTCTTCCTGATGATCTTACATGAAAACTATTTTTGTCCAGTACACTTGTATATACATAGCCAGTTTGTCATTTGGTCATATACAACTGAGTCTCTTGTTCTACCTTAACGATTCTGGCACCCACTATTAAATGACAGAAGTTTCTGAGTCTCATCATATCTCCAGTTAGATATTTTTGTTCATGTCTTCATTGTAAATGACTGTTTTTCCCCACCAGCAGATTTTTGCACCAGTCACATGATAGAACATCACCAACACACCCACTCAGTGTCAGTACTCCTGACCATATGTTGTTATTTTGTCACATGGGCTCACTCTGATTTCTCGTAGACTGTACCAGGGAGCTGACAAGGTAAAGTCGGCTTAGTCATCTGACTCAGACATTTGCATTCTCACATACAGCTCCTTCAGGTAATGCCTAGATAATTTCAGGGTTCTAGTGCATTTCTGAAAAGGGCTACAGTCTTGCATTTGACCCATTTATATGAGACCACAGGCAGTCACAGGTTAATTTCTGCTTGTCACTGTACACCGAATATACTAATAATGTAACATATTTCTATGTAACTATACAGTTATGTAGTATTATATCAAATAAACACCAAATGAAGTTTTTAAATGGTACATGGACTGCACTTATATAGTGCTTTTCTACCTTACCTGAGCAAAGTGCTTTACAGATTCACACACTCATCCATTCACACTCACTCACATAGCGATGGCGGTGGAGCAGCCATGCAGGGAGCTGGTCTGGCCACCAAGAGCAACCTGGGGTTCAGTGTCTTGCCCAAGGACACATGTGGACTGGGGAGACAAACCACCAACCCTGCAATCAGAGGCCAACCCACTGAATCCCTGAGCCTCATTTCATTTTTTTGCACACACACTCTATCTCGCTGCCTTCTTTTCTAGATGAGCAGCTGTAGTCAGCTGTTATTAACAGACTTCATACTAAAAGCATAAAGGTCTTAACAACATAAACATGAAAAAATGCAACCCTAAACTGAAAAAGGATTCAGGTTATCGTCAAGTGTTCATTGTCATTCTTTCACTGTGTTCATACCCAACTAACGTGGGCCTGAACAAACACAATGTTGCTACAGGTGAGCAGTGGTGACCTGGCTGAGGCTGTGGCCTTTCTGACAGAGAAGAATGCTAAGGTCCCACTACAGGATGAGACAACCTACTACCAGACATCCCAGGTGGCCAGTGACAGATATATCAGCGTGGGCAGCCAGGCAGACACAAGTGAGCTATTACTTTTGGCACAGACATTCTATAGACCTCACAGAGATGAAAAAGAAACATACGCTTAGCTTATAGTTTCATAACGGGGCTAATCTAAATAAAATGTTTGTATTTTAATACTTTTACAGACGATTTTACTACCTGTTTTATTTTTGTCATAATGTACAGCTGTCAGCACAGAGCATCACATACAAAATTGACATTTAAAGGGAAAAAGTGGAATAGTTCTGAAAACAGTACTTCCCTCAGGTCCCTAAGTACAGTATAAACCATGAAGATAAAAGTGATTTTAGTCCAAACTAAATTACAACCTGTGTGTGTGTGTGTGTGTGTGTTTTGTGTGTGTGCACGCGCACACATTCATGCTTTCTTGATGCAGATGTAATTGACCTGACAGGGGACGATAAAGATGACCTGCAGAGGGCTATCGCACTTAGCCTGGAGGAGTCCAACCGGGCATTCAGGGAGACGGGCATCACAGATGAGGAGCAGGCCATCAGCAGGTGGGCTCAGTAGCATTTCTGACTAAAAACAAACATACCAAGAAATTGTGACCTCAACATCTGATAAAAACCAAACAGCCTTAGATGAATATCTACACTTACCACCTACACTGTGCCCATGTTTACCCAGGGTGTGATGAAAATATCTCTTGCATAGACTGGGAAAAAAACAACTGCTTTTGTTTGTCCTATTATGATAAATATAGCTATGTCAAATCACACACAGTTGCTGCATAACAGTCCTATCTAACAACAAGTAATTTTTGTTTAACTTAACAACCTATCTAACGGTCTTGAACTAAAGCTGTTTGCAATATTTTCAGACATATCCAGACTAGGTTTGAGGTTTAACGTTAATTGAACAATGGCCCATTTTAGAAGTGTGATGGTGAAATGTATATTTGGACAAGTCTTGAGCTCTTTTGATGTGTATTCTTTCATTACTTCCACCTCCTTAGTCACTCCTAATACCTACCTTGTAATAAATGTGAATAATTTTTTATGTCCTGATAAGGAAGGGAAAAAACACCTCATCACAACCCTTGATATCAAGTACAATACGAGCTGAACCAAAATCTGGCAGGTTAATTAAACCCCCATCTCACTGAACTGATAGGGACTGTTGAAATAAGCTTTTCCAATGGCTGGCTATATTGACAATTATACAGAGGCATGTTGCTTTGGAGAACGGGTTTTAAACAATAGAGAAGGGTTGAACTTTAATTAAGTGAGGAGCACTGTGACCTGGATTTGCTTTTTGGCATAAGATGAAGCATGACATGAAAGAGGTTTGGAAATAGTGCTCAGCTTTTTAGGAAATAGAGTGTGGATAAACGGCAACAGGGGAACCAATGAATAAGGGGTTTAGGAAAACCAATCTGTACCCCACGCTGTGAAATACACTGCATGTAAAAAGTATTCACCCCCTTGGATGTTTTACCTTTTTGTTGATTTTATAAATCAATCATGGTCGATATAATTTGTCTTTTTTGACAAAAAAATTATAAAAAAAACCTTTAATGTCAAAGTGAAAACAGGTTTCTACAAAGTAATGTAAATTAAATAAAAATATGTAATGGGAAATAAGGGGCAACTGTAGTTCAGTGGGTAGAGCAGTCGTCTCCCAGCCAGAGGGTCGGAGGTTTGAATCTTAGTACCTGCAGTCCACATGTCGAAGTGTCCTTGGGCAAGACACTGAACCCCCAAGTTACCCCCGATGGTCAGAGCCATCTGTTGAGTTGGCGCCACAGATTGCTGCCTCGGTTCTATACCGGAAACATATTCCTTGTGTGTAACAACTACTACTACTACTACTACTACTACTACTACTACTTGGCCAAATAACAGCAATTATTATTATTATTATTGTTAACAGAGGTCCAGCCAGCTGGTGTTAGTAGTCTCACAATTAGTGAAATGGGGATCACCAGAGTGCAGTGAATGTGTCTCAAGTTATTGCAATATAAAGACACCTGTGTCTGGAAGGTCCAGTCACTGGTTAATCAGTATTCCTGGCTACACCATGAAGACAAAAAGAACAGTCCAAGCATCTCAGAGAAAAGGTTGTTGAAAAGTATAAGTCAGGGGATGGATACAAAAAAAAATCCAAGACAATGAACATCCTCCACAGTTCAGTTAAATCTATCACCAAGAAATGGAAGGAATATAGCGCATGTCTAAATCTGCCTGGATCAGGCCGTCCTCACAAACTGAGTGACCGTGCAAGAAGGAGACTAGTGAGAGAGGCCACCAAGACACCTATGAACTCTGAAGGAGTTACAAGCTTCAGTAGCTGAGATAGGAGAGAGACTGCATAGAACAACTCTTGCCCAGGTTCTTCACCAGCTTTATGGGAGAGTGGCAAAGAGGAAGCCACTGTTGAAGAATACTCATTAAATCTTGGCTAGAGTTCACCAAAAGGCATGTGGGAGGCTTCATGGTAAAGTGGAAGAAAGTTCTTTGGTCTGATGGGACCATAATGGTGCTTGGCGGACACCAAACACTGCACATCACCACAAACACACCATCCCAACTGTGAAGCACGGTGGTGGCAGCATCATGTTGTGGGGATGCTTATTGGCAGCTGGCCCTGGAAGGCTTATAAAGGTAGAGGGTAAAATGAATGCGGCAAAATATAGGAAAATCCTGGAGGACAATCTTATTCAGTCTGCAAGAGAACTACGGCTTGGGAGAAGATTCATTCTCTAGCAAGACAATGACCCAAAGCATAGAGCAAAAGCTACACAGAAATGGTTTAGACATCAAGGTGAGTGTTCTGGAGTGGCCGGGTCAAAGCCCAGACCTCAATCCAATAGGAATTTGTGGCTGTTCACTTCCGATTCCCATGCAACCTGGCAGAGCGTGAGCAGTTTTGCAAAGAAGAATGGAGTAAAATTGCAGTGTCCAGATGTTCAAGCCTGACTGAGACCTATCCACACAGACTCAGTGCTGTGACTGCAGCCAGAGGTGCATCTACTAAATACTGACTTGAAGTGGGTGAACATTTATGCGGTCACTAATTTCCCATTGCATATTTTTATTTAATTAACATTACTTTGTCACAAAAGCCTAATTATATTGACCATGATTGATTTATAAAATTAATAAAAGGTTAAAACAGGGGTGAATATTAAAAATTAAAAACCCATGAGAAGTTGAATTGTACATGAAGCAGGTAATCCTGCTTCATGTACAATGAAGGAT